CCTGATTGTTTCACAGATTATCATTCTCATGTACTACTGTCAGGATATAGTCAAAGTTTCAGTTTCATTTTTATAGAAGCTACCTACTGCAACTTACTTTACTTTTATCTGCTTTATACGACAATGGTTTATAATGTCTACAAATGCCCTCACTGACACCATACTCACTGTATGTATGCATGCATCACTAGCTAGCTTCAATGAAGCCCACCAACCTGAAAGCGGGGAGGCTGGCCAGAGGTCTCCTGCAATGTGGAGCCCCAGCCTGCTCCCTGGGTGCCTCTGGGCTGGGGGACCGTCCAGTGGAGGAGCCTCCCTCCAGCGACTGGGCCCCTTTCTCACGAACCTTTGTCTTGAGTTCTGCCACTAGCTGGTCAAAGTTCTTGCTGCGGCCCACCACCTTCCTCCGCTGGTGGATGGAGTGGATCTAAGGAGCAGGACACAGGATACAGTCAGTATTTAATTTTGATTGACTTCATTTCAAGTAAATTGCTAAAACTTGTATCTGGTTACACTGTAGACTGGCATGCCAAGCTAGAAGGTTGGATTAAAGCACGATATAATAAGCCTTAAGATGCTTAACTTGAGGTACTGTCAAACAGCACTGCTGAAGCTGCTGCCCAGCAACATCAGTGTTCTGTACTTTGAACAGGTTGCAGCAGGGTGCCACTCCCCTGCTGCCAGATACCAACAGTTTTACAAAAAACCTGCACAATAAGCTACAGATTCCACTTGCTCCGATGTCATCACCTAGGCAGATAGCGGATTGTAGGTTGCGACAGAGGATAGCAATGACGTGATTAGTTAGTGGAAGCTCTGCACTTTTTTTTTAGCAGTGTCACTGTACAAAGAGCGACAGCATGGCAGGTTGTAAACCCTTACAAACCAAGTCTTAAAATGACCACAAACCAAATGTCTTCATGCATAGGAGTTTGATATTGGAGTTCAGTGTGGCGCCGAACTGCAAGAAACAGCCAAATCCAATCCAGTGTTGGCCAAAAATGTTGAGGTTATGATTAGAGAGGGTTGGGTAAAGGTTCAGTGTCATTGAAGCTAAGGTAACAGTAAAGGTAACTCATGCAAGAATGCATGAAAAGATCCCCCTCAGCAAGCCACTGAGACCCATCATTCAACCCATCATTCCAGTGTGTCCAGACAGCAGCAGTTGGATGGTGGAGGTTATTAAGAACTTTAGGTTTGATATCTCACCCCCAACAAATCTTCCAAACTAGTATAAGCAATGGTTTTTTATTTTTGGCAGTACAAAGCAAGTCCCTTATGGTGCCGACTTCAGCCCATTTGACTCTTATTTTAGGGTGTATGTAGCCTTGGAACCAGACAAATCTGCTGTTTGTTTAACGTGGGGCCGATTTTATAATGATTGACAGAGGAGCATCACTAGTCCTCATTTAAACAGTCACGTTTCACTGCTCTGATTGGTTGTAGGTCTATCCAAATGTGTCAGGCTGCAGGTCCATCAAGGGCAACACAGCTCACGAAACGGATAACTGACAAACTAACCTCAGATGTTTTAAGAAACATTTTAGTGGACCATTTAGCTGTAGTTAAAATGACTAAATCGATTTGAGCTTTTGAGTTTACCACTCATTTCCCCGCCTAGGCCAAGAGTTTTCCCAAAGAATCATCCCAAATTCTAATGGTACTTGACCTAAAAACAAATGATATCATTAGGTTAATTGGTGGCCACTGTTTATTTAGTCAGCTCAATAGTTCATGTGCATGTCACAGCTTTGTTAGCAGTTAGACGTCCCACTGTTTTGGAAAATCCCTTATTAACCTATCAATTATTTTGGAATATTAACTGATTTATTCTATTAATTGAAAACAGAAATTACATTTGACAACGACTAGTTATGTCATCAAGTTATTTTCAAAATTCTTTGCAATAAAATCAAAGAGACAAAAGAAGTAACTATGCCACAACACTGGAGAACATGGGACCAGCTAAAGCTTGATATTTTTTTAAATGACAAACAAATGTTCAACAAATTTCTGTCAGAAAACTAAAACAAGAGCACATTCAAGGGGCTTTATCCAGTAGCACTACTGCGGTTATCACTGAACTCATGCATCAGTGTTGCTTAAGAAATAGTGATAAATGAATAGTCTGAATGACTACAAGACAGGTCTCCTAGTAGCAGGTGGGAGAGAAAACACAGCCACCTACTGAGAGTCTGTTCACCTCACAGAGCAGGTAGAAGATACAGGCTGCTTTCCTGCGTGCCTTTCCCGTCACTCCTGTCATTTCCTGTTAATCAGGTCATCCTGTCTGCTCGGCTGGATGTGGCCTCTCACACTCACTTCCTCCTTCACACACCAGCCACCATATAAGGACTCTTCCTGTGCTGGGAGCCATTTTCATCGCTCAGTATCAGTCAGTGCTGATCAGTAACAAGGAGCAGTGACTTGATTCAAAAACACCTAACCTGAAAACCATCGTTATCGCTATTTTTTGATGATAGTGATATAATTACTTTCAAACACTAAAATGTACAAGGTGTAATAGATCCAACCCACGCTAACACCTTTACACAATACAAAGAATCTATGGTGGAATACCAGATTGACAGAAGATGAGCAATATACTGCAGGACCAAGAGTGGATTTTAAAGCAAATTGCCGGCATAAGATTTTCTGTCTCAGTGCAAATTGACTTGGATTGATATACTCATATGACTGTCACACTACTGGTATTGGCTAATTAGTGCTTTTAAAGGTCAGTGCAGTTCAGTAATTGTTCAAATCATATTTTGGTGATAATTTATGTCCATAAATACAGGTAGACAACAAATTAAAAAAGGAAAAGGAAGCTTCCATACAAAGGCTCACTAAATGGTTTAATGAGTATGAAAATGTTAAATTTGCTACAGACCCCTATAGGAGATTATGGAGTAACGTGTTAAATGAGCACTCTACGCCACCATCATTAAAATCCACGTAAAATAGAAAGAGTGCTGTTGCTGCATTAACACGGCGGCCAGGGAGGGACTTGTTGCAGTAGGCAATAACACTGAATGTGTGCTACATCCCCCCCGCCCCCCCGTCAGGCAGCTATA